GCCAGAGAGAGAAGTTTCTCCCCTATGCTTCAAATATATACTATTCATCCTATGCTTCAAATAAAATTTTCTCTTAAACTACTCATCCGATCTATGATCCGATTACACCGTTGTGTTCGTAACAATTAAATCTTTATAACAAGATCTCACATGATTATATTTTAATGAAAAATTATAAATTACTTTTATAATATATCTAAATTACTATTAGATTTCACTAAATTACTTCTTAGACATATAAAAGCAAATTTAGTAAAGTCTAAAACTAATTTAGATAAATTATAAAAGTAACTTAAAACAAAAAGAAAGTAACATTGTCACAACATTAGAAGTAAATTCGTTGTAGGAGATAGAAATTAAATTTAATTAGCACAAGTAAGTTTAACAACTTTTAAAAGTAACTTCGATATTAATTCGAAGTAACTTTCTATAAATCTGTAAATCTGTTTTAAACATTGATTGTTTTTTCCCTTTCACTTTTGTTTTTCATGTAGTATGAGAAAAGAAGATAAAACCATTGATGGATTGTAAATAATATTGATGGAGTAACTAATGAGAATTAATCATGTATAAGATGTAAAAGTTACTTCCTACTTCTACATATAATAAATTACTTTTAAATTAATAAAATGTTTAAATATATTCAATATGGGTCTTGTTTTATCGCATATTTTGAGTGGAGCACAATGGTGCAAATAGATTTTAAGAACAATATGTGATTTAAAAGATATAAGTTATTAAAGATGTTAAAAAAAGACACACACTATTGTATTTATACTTGATGGAGTGGTAGCTGGATAAGACAAACCAGCTACCAGTAGCTATCTAGTCATGTCCTAAGAAAAAAGGTAATGATAATGGTGCTGCAACTACTCAAGGTATGCATAGTTATGATGTGCCAACTATGTCCACTACTTATGCTACGTTAGAGCAACCCATAGTGGAAACAATTGTTGAAATACCTTTGTCACAAAACAATTTGCCTGATGTTTCTAGTGATAAAGAAGATTTGTGCGATGCTTCACTTATATCCATGCCACAACTAGTGAATGAACATGTTAATTTTATAGTAGAACCACTATGTGTTGAGTTTAAACATGTATTCACATTGCTAGCGAAAATGAAGAGCTTAAATTGCTATCTTCTTTAAATACTTGGGGTCATATTCAATTTGATGATCTTTATCCACTCAACTATTTAGAGAAGAAATTATTTGCTAGATTTGAATTGCCATGCCCTTCTGATGTGATTTTTCATATTATTGACAATTATGATAGTAAATGACAATATAATGTGCATCAAGTATATATTTGTTCAAATTTGACTATACTTCCTTTTCATGATGAAATGTGGTCTAGAGGACCGCATGCGTATAAGTAATTCTCTATCTAGTTCCTCTAGTTGTTTAAATGAGTTATAGATTGGTTTGCAAGAAGGGGAGTGTTGTAGTTTTCGACTACAAAGATTTTAGGATCCAACCATATGGTCATCAAGAAATGTTCCTCACCAGATGTTGTGATAAATAAAAATAAGTTTAATACGCTCTATGACAAGGTGAAACCAAGGACGGTTTCCAATCAAGAAGGGGAGGATGATGAGGACACAACTAGCTCGGATATAACCATGACCACCTTATGTACTAATCAACCAAAGTTGCATATGTTCTATATTAGATTTACATGTTATATATTTGAACAAACGGTGCTACACAATAAGTTTCGTGTGTTTTTGTTTGCAGAGGTACTTGCTTGGGCGAAGGAAAAGAGACCGAGCTAACGAATTCATGGATGATCAAAGAAATTGATTGGAGAACAAACCAAGACCTTCTCCAAGCCCACTTCCATCTTACCGCGTCACTTTTGGTCCATAGAAGACAAGAGATAAAGTTCTACACGTTTTGGATTCGGATTCGGGCCTCCTGACAGCATCAATTTCAAACGGACCTAGCTGCTGATATAGAAGGAATTCCAGGGCCCATGAGTACTTTTTGGAAAGCTTATGGAGTCTACTTTCATATGGTTTTGGTCCCACGTCAAAATTCCTACCAAGCTACCAGGAATCTGGAAAACAAGCCACGTATTTCATCCAGTCTGAATCTGATTTGGGTTTTGGACTTGTAATTATGTCGTGGGCTTAGCCCAAGGGGGTGTGCGCAACCTAGAATGTCCCTAGTCATATTTATTCAGTAGATGTCATCGTTTAGAGTCGGGTTTTGCTTAGATTATTCTGTCAAGAACGGTTTCACCGCTAGATCGGTATGTGGAACCCCAAATTCGAGTGCTTAATCATTCATATGCAATTTGGTTGCAATCTATCTTGTTCTTACTTGTGATCTTCGATACGCATGCAGGGATTAGCCTTCTCGGTGAGGTCAACCGGGTTTCGGCATGGTTGATAACCAGAGGAGACGTGGTGCTGCAATTGCGGGGCTCAGTAGCGTGTTCGTTCAGAAGCCGGATCGAGTTGTGTCGCGACTCCGCCCAAATCGACTGTTTATCAACACTTATCAGAAGACCGGGATCTTACATCCCTTATCACAAATAATGCAATGGAGAATTAGAGCATATGATGGTAATGAACTACTGATGCGGTATCAATGTACCTCCTACTAATATTATGACAATTATATCCTTTTTTATCTCTTAAGAAAATTATCTTTTTACCCTTCCTGCCTAAGTATCTATAGCAATACTTAAATACCTTTTGTATGATACCTTTAATTGTGGAGCGTTGGATCTTTACTATTTTTGGAATGCAAACACCATAAAACTTCTCTAAGCATAGACCCATTTGAGCACAAGAAGAGTACTCTAACCATTCTTAAGGTTACAAACAAACAGTGATAACAACAATTATTCAAGGTAGATCATGCAGCAATAAGGTCATGACTACCATTTACCAAGTTTTCAAATATCGTTTTAATCAAATATTATGCAACTTTGCAAACAACACTTTTCATCTCCAAAAACATAAGTTTCAATGTGATCAAAGAAGAGGGGAGGAAGGACTTGCCTTGTTCCTAGAAAATGTTAGCACCTAAGTCATTCCTTCGCCGTTATTGCAATATCTATCTTGTTTACACGTTATGCAATTAAACACCGAAATAGGCGAAAAATCCAAAATGCTCTAAACTGCATGACTTGTGCAAGGTGGGTAGGTTCTGGTCTAAAATGAATTTAGGTTAATGAATTTCCATTTTATCCCTTTTTATTTGGGAGTTACAAATTTTATAAGTTATGTTGGTATATAGTAGTTTTTACTGAGTAGTGTTATGAAATATTTTTGCTATTTGATTTTTATTAGATTTGACTTCACAGAGGTGTAGTGGTGTGTTTTCTAAGACTTAACACATTTGGTTTCATAATTTTTAGAGTAATTATGAATTCTTTATGAATTTTACAAGTTATAACGTGTTGTAGGTGCATAGTGTTCTGTATGTACAAGGCTCTGGCGTTTTAAGTCCAGAATATATTCTACTTTGTTTGAGATGAATAAAGAAAATGATCTTTTTAACTAATCTAACCTTAGTTCATAACTTTAAAGATTGTATTATTGTTGCTTTACCTTATATGAACTAGAGGGTGTTTTATGTTGATGACTTGATGTATTATCCTATGAATCCTTATATAACTTAAGTGTGTCAAGTTTTAGTGGTGGAGGATGGATTTATCACTTCTCTGGTCTAACAAGTTTTATTTTGGTTTATTTTAGCTTGGTTGCATTTTTATATAAATTGCATAGTTCATAGTTCATAATTAAGTGACTATTACTTCAATTAAAGTTTAGTGATGTTTCTGTTACAGAAGGTTGTACATTTTATTTTATAATGGGAAAGTTCACCTCTTGCTGGTTCTATATAAATTTAGTTCACTCCATTTGGATTAAGAATGAATTTTCTACAGATTTTACAAGTTAAAGTGTACCCTAAGTTGTTTATTCCTTATATAAATATTTAGGGGCTTTTATTGTACTCTGGGTATATTTTTTTATTTCATAACTTGTAAGTACATATTATGGTCATTCTCCAGAGCTTGAGTTTACTCAAAAATGAGTTGAAATGTATTTTATATGAATTTCCAAAATTTAGCTTATCTAAAACTAATTATTTTGTAGATAATATTTTTAGGGGCATTTTGATGTAAAGTATGTATACTATTTTATTTTACTTTTCAAAAGAGTATAAGATGGTGATTCTGTAGAAATTGAGTTTGCTTCATTTTGAATTGTAATGAATTTTTTTTATGCATTTTATAAGTTTGTGCATGTTTTAAGTTTACGATCTGGAACGTCGGATTTGAGTGAAACAATCCTGACCGATCAATGAAGTATGAAGTATGTAGAATGTAGGACTGTTGTTGGTGAATTATAAGGTAGATTCAATAGTTCCAGGCCTACCTAATTACCATCCAAAACATGGTAAACATCCACTTCATTTAAAAACGTGAGGGCAAATCATAAACCCTACAAAGAAAGAAGTAGGTAAATCCACAATTGCAACATAAAATTAGGGCAAGAAGCCAACAACACCATTACCCCCATTCAAAAAACCCCCACCCAAATTTTGAATTAACTATTTTATATAACACAATAGAAACACACACGCTCACAACACGTGCACACTCCCCGCACATACTACCCTTTTAAGCATCTTCGGAAGATTGAGACGATGTACCCCCTTATAAGTATCTTCGGAAGATTGGAACGATGTACCCCCTTATAAGCATCTTCGGAGGACTAGACAATGGACCTTAAAATTGATGGAGACACCACGGGCACCTCGCTATCGCACCACAAAGAATAATTAGCTGTAAAGATGAGCACCTGTGTCAAATCTAAGACTTAATCACAGGTGAATTGGTTCTATCACAAGAAAGCTAACCACTTCGATTCGCCAACCAAAGAAACTGCCAAGATAATCACGAAGGGTTGCATCAACATGTGTTCGTTTCAGAGTGCAAATTGACACGGGCAAAACAAAGCCAATTGCATGCACACCTTGCCAGTACCAAATCGATGATGCAGTAAAATTATAAATACTGTGTAAGTTACACCGGATCATACAAACATCTCAGGCATGAACATCATTTGTCCGCACATTTCCAGGACACAACTCATCAGAGACTAACATACAGGGCACAGCAACGGCGCAGCTTTGGTTTTACATTTGCAATGGCATCCGGATTGTATCGCACCACTAACCACCTTTTAATCTTCAGCATGGTTGGTGGTGCCGGGCTTGATCTATTGCTTAGATGAAGTCCGAGAAAGCGACTTTGGGGAGGCTGGAACGACCGGACAAGTTTCTGGTACAACAATGGATGTTGATGAAGGTGATGAGCTGGCAGTCTTGGGAGTAGCTGGGGTTACAGAGCGACCAAGGCCTGAACCAGCCCGAGAAGGTGCAGGTGGTAATACTTGTGTAGGGTAGACCTCAGTGACCTCTTCAATGCCTTCATCCACATATATAACATCCTGCATAGTAAGTTGGTGGTACTCAACAATTTCTCGTAGGAATCTATTCTCTCGAGCGTACACCGAATTCTCATGTGCGAGCCGTGCCTTCTCAGCTAATAGTGTCTCTAGTTGGAGGCGGATCTGCAAATTTTAAAAAAAAAAGTATGATTAACCACAGCGGAAGGTAACAGGTACCACCCTGGACTCCTGTCATATTGGTAAGAGCAGGTACAATAGCAGGCTATAAGCCAGCTATAAACATATTTTAAAGAGATAAAAGAAGAGAGAGAAGAGCAGCGAGCTACAGATCTGTAGCCAGCTGCAGCACGGACTCCAAGACGTAATGTATGTATGACAGGTGGGACCAGGTATTAATAGTATAGTAAGCAACTATTGTATGAATTGACTATTACATTGGCTATAGATGATTTTGAGTTAGTAGTGGGCTATACTATTAAACTTGCTCTAAGGCACAGAAAATTACAGGTTCCATTCACAAAAAAGATATCAACATTATCTCTCCATCCCAAAATAAGTTCATTGCCCCCTCCTGTTTGTCCCAAAACAAGTTCATGTTTAGTGATCATTGCATCGGAGTTTGTGAAAGTAGGGATAAATACATTGGGAGTAGATAAAGTGGGGGACAATTCCATTGAGATTTGGTAAAGTGGAGGGTATTCTAGTCCTTTTGCTTTTGTATTGGTATGTGTGGGGTAGGTGAAAAATGAACTTATTTTGGGACAGAGGTAGTAACTAATATGACAAAAAAAAACTCGGAATATAATACAAAATGTAATTAGACCCCTCAGGGGCAATTTTTAATAAACTATGGTAAGATAAGCATGAGTCGGCCACATTTCACACTGATGAACATACATTATATAAGAGTCAAAATCCATGATAATTTTTTTAGGCAGTTCCAAGATAAGTTTGAATTGAGCATGTGAAGCTATAATTTGTAGACTCAACAGCTATTTATTATTAGTTCAGAAAGTTGGACTACAGGTGTTCAAGTCAAAAGAGTAGTTATTTAGTAAAACTTTAGATGCACAGAAGAAGCCCAAAACATTTTAATACATAACTCCAGCAATCAAGAATCTGATGATTTTCATAATTGCTTGTCCGTTTTAAAGAAAAATTACTAACCAGATCATCATCTTCAGGGTTATCACCCTTATCGTGACTTTCCCGCAAAATCTTATTTTCATCTTCAAGCTGAGCGCAACGTTCCTTTGCAAAAGCTAAATCGGCCTTCACAGTCTTCAGCTCACGTAATAGCAGCTTTGCTTTTGCTGCCATGGCATTTGCAACCTGCAAGTGCAAAATATGGGTCACTAATCCACTCCAACAGAAAGGGCGATGAGAGACAAAAGATTACTAAACTGATGCCACTGTTCGTCAACCAGAGAAAAAATAAAGGGCAGGATGAAATAAGCACTGAAAGGCTATGTTTAATGAAAAATACTTTGCAAAGAATATAATCACACAGATATCACGCTCAACACAAAAAAAAAACTTGAACAGCTATCAGGTAAAAATGATGTTTATCAAAAATGCCACCAGATTAAATTTGGAAACCACGTGGATTCCAAGATGCAAAATGTAGCACTAAGCAACATATCTAGTGACACATATTGGCCACCTTACGTCGCGAGATGCCTTCAATTGAGTTTCGTAGTCAAGTGGATTTTGTGGAAGATTCCTTTGAGTAAATCTTTGTGGAGCTTCTCCTTGTGTAGTTGAGCCAGCTCCTTTTCTTCTTATGTTCAATTTGCGTGTTTCATGAATAATGTCGGCTGTTTTATTTTCTACAATCGTCCGGCCTTCCTGGAAAGAAGATTTAAAACATGTTAGCATGGGTAAATAACATAAAAGCATAACAGAAGGATGCCTCAATCATAAAATAAATTAACCAGTCATATCACCATTATTCTAGTGCTGTTGTGATATGAAATAGACAACAACGTAAAATGCTTCATATTTTCCAAGTTGAGACAAAGGTAAAAGAAGAAAGATAAAAGTATTTCCATGGTGCTATACTTCTAACACATGGTTTGCTAATGCTACCAGGATATTTTTAGAATAGAAATTATTTGAACAGTTCTTAAATAACATTAACGGAAAAAGGAGATATACTTTCACGTGATCGTTTAAATAGGATTAGGTAAGTAGTTGATGTATAGCAACTTACTTCAAGTGCACTTTTTATTGTGCCACCAATATAGTTGAGGGAGGAAGCTATGGCCTCGGACCTCTTATGAGATGGAGGTGTCTCGGATTTCCATGTTTCAGACGGTGGTTGTTGTGAGCGTGTATACTGCAATAGCAATAAAAATGTTGGCATTGACACAAGAACATCTGAAAGTAAACTGCCTAAACACAATAATGGCAGTTAAGCACAACACAAACTTACAAGGTGCAGATTATAGCATGAATGAACAAGTAGTCAAGTACTGACCATGATGACAGAATAAGTGTTAACATCATTAGCAAAAGTCAAAAGTTTAGACTGTGCTGCTAATCTCTTCAAGAAATGATCAGTACACGCATTAAATAAAAATTAGAATCTACCAGTTCAATTAACTGCAAGAGAATGTCAGGACAGCAGTTCCCACCTGGACACCAACCGGCGGCGCATCTCTTGACGGCTGCTGCCTCGCCGGGGAATCATACTGCCCTGGTGAACCATCCTCGTCCAGAAAAGACTTGGCTTTCCGAGCAAGGGCCCCCCAAAATCCGTACTTAGCCTCATTCAAGTTCTTCATGGATGTGTATTCATAACCCGAAGAACCCTACAACACAGAACAAAAGCGACAGTATAAACATAGAATCTTCGCTCCCCAAATCAAGAAATACAACAATTTGGTCCGATGATGTCAGGGAGACCCAACCCAAGAACAGCAGAGGCGGCGGCAAAACCACTAAACAGAAGTAGTCAAGCATCACAAGTTAGTTAATCGCGAACCTAACTGGAATCAAAACGAAGAGATGCGGCCCTAAATCGATATCCCTAATCGATTCACCACCATGGATTTCAAGAAGCGGCTAGGACGGGGAGACAAACCGCCCCGAGCGGACCAGATCCGGGCCACGCATCAGACACATCTAAGGGGTGGGGGGGAGTCTCAGCGGGGAAGCTTACGGGGGAAGGCGTGGAGACGGAGGGCTCGTGGTGGCCCCGGCGAGCCGCGGCGGCGGCGGCGGCCGCGGAGGCGGAGGAGGAGGAGTAGGCCGAGGAGAGGGAGGAGGCGTCGCGGTGCGCGGCGGAGGCGCGCATGGCCTGCGCGGCGAGGGAGTCCTGCGGCGGGGACGAGGGGCCCACGGAGGGGGTGTGGTGGTGGTGGTGGTGGTCCAAGGACGGCGGCGTCTGCGGAGGCTGCGGCTTCCGGCGGTACGCCATGGCGGTCGCGGTCGCGGCGGCGGCATCCGACGCGGGGCGGCGAGGGGAGGGGCGCGCCTTTATACCGGTGAGGTGATGCGGATGGATGACAGTTTGGCTTTGGACTCGGACGCGGCACGCTGCGAGTCAACTCGAATCCACGGTGAACGGTGAAAAATGGCTTGGCCGCGGCTTGGGAGTTGGGGACTGGATTAGTGGGGTTTTCCGAATGGGTTACTACCCCACCCAGCTATACTCCAGTGGACATCACACAATACAAGTTCCAAGGATCCCAAAAACAAACGGCTCATCGTGTATCATAGAAAGATCTAACTTACGTAGATACTGAAAATAGATATCATATATATAAATAGTGATTGTCATATATATATATATATATGATAATCTTAAACAACTATTAGATTGTACAACAATGCTGCTACACTTATACTACTGTAGCCAGTCTGGATGGTTGCCTTGAAGATAGCCAAGCTACATGGCTGTAGGCTATGCTGTTGTAGCCAATGTTTTCGAGTAGTCCCTATAGTACAATACGTTCAAATTATCATAACTCGCTACACTATCTTCGTACCACAGAATCTCATTTTCATAACATCCTCCAAACGATTTATAGATTTTCTTTAATCTGGTTTTCATGATTTTATCATATATTCTATATACAACCAAAGATGTTATGATAATATTTATGTTTCTTTGGATTGAAGGATTAGATTCTTAGGAAAAAAAAATCATAAGGAGGTTGCTTGGTTTGTGGGATTTGGGCTTGCAAAATTCCTTTGCAATTTATTCATATACCCCAATTCTAAAGAACTTTAAACATGAGCTCCAACCCATATTTTAAGAGAATTCCAAAGCAACATCTCCATTTCTGTCTTCTTTTAATCTTAATCTAAGTAATACATAATCTCAAAAATCATATATTTTCCTTTGAGCCATGTAAACACATGTTTTGAGAAATCATATGATTATAGATCCAATGGGATTCAACATACTCAACATTCTGTATTTTTTTTATCCATGTGTTTTTTGAAATCATGCATTTCAAAGAAGCCTTAAAGCAATATCACTCCATTTAAGTTAGTTACACTCATAAACTGGCATTTTCTATATATATCCATCCCTATCAAGATAGACACCCATAATGTTGTTTCTCATATCCTGCATCTAGCGAGGTAGCTTGGGATTATATTTGGGTAGTACTAGTGCCATATGATATGCATTGATCTTTTGACCTTCTTATGGACTTCCCGTGCACGATATCTTCTGTTTTACTCGCTTCTAATACTTTTGTTTACATCCTATTTTGGTTGAGGTGGACAAACCAAGGTGTATATATATATGTCATGTATATATTTAGAATACATATACTTTATCAAGAAGATAAATTACATTCGGCCTCTACACCTATATTAATATATTACCATAACTAATAAAGAAAAGAACAGCAAAGAAAAAAAAACTAAGACAACTTGAACATATCATATATCATTTTGATAGCTTACTCCCTTACTGTCCTACAACCCACCTAACACATCTATGAAGCTTCTCGTAGAATGATTTCATTAGGGAATCAGGGGTTGTCCGCATAGCTAATACTGCTTGATTACCATCAGCTTCGAATGTAGAAAAAAATTGAGAAATCTTCTAAGAAAAGCAGTGAGTTAGTCTACTCGGTGGTAGGATGAGATATGTCGTTTGAAAAAAATAGACCCACCAAAGCTAAAGTAGGAAAAATGCCTTTGTTGATCAGCCAGATCTATGAACTTGAGATAGATTTATGGAGAAAAGTACCAATACTATGGCTGTGTGTTACACCGGTAAATGTGCTTTCCCTCATAGCAAAATAAGGAAGATAGGTTTTGCCCTTCGACAATGCCCATTATGACTAGAGTCGAGCCAAGAGAGGCGAGTGGTTGTGGCAGCTAAATATGTATCCACACACCCCGTAATTAATCCTTCACGGCTCAACTAGGTGCCAATGCGCCATAATCAACCTATGAAAATTTCCTTATGTGGCTTTGCCAAATCTAGGGATAGATATGGATAGCCACCAACCATCTTCCAACGCTCTTCAAGCAGGGGCATCAATGCCATCGACTTAGGAATCTACTCTCATGGATGCCAATGGATACAATGTCTTCTTGTAACATGATGATGATGTAGTTGTTGTTACCTGTATTTGAAATATAATGTCTTCTCTCTTTGGCATGATAAGCATGTGAATGCCCTTTTTATAATGGCCAATGTTAGATTAGGAGAGAATAATTCTGCACAACACTGATGGTATGAAGGTTATGATGGAGAATTGGAGATTAAAGAAGGCTTTGAAAAACGTGGTTTCCCTCTATTGAATGCTCTATGGCTTTTGAATTGGGCCCTGTTTAGTTCACACCAAACTTCCCCCAAACTCCCAACTTTCCATCACATCACATCACATCCAAAACTTTTCTACTCACATAAACTCCCAACTTTTTTTTTCAAACTACCAACTTTCCCTAAACTTCTCTCCAATTTCAGGAACATAGCCTTGAACTATACCATCACCTTAGAAAAAGGCAGATGCAGGAAAAAAATGCCAAGTATCTCATGTATCTCCTTTTATCGTATAGTCTAACTTAATACTCATGCCAAGTAATACATTATTAATATTGAGTTATTAGGTTGTAAATACATGGATCTGCCCTAAAGAGATGAATTTAGATGAGTTAAATATAATTATTTGTATGTTTTAATAAATAAAATTATAGATTCACAATCGAGCATATGAAATGCAGCGGGGAAACAATACTAGTGTGACAATGGAGTTGTAGACACCATAGTTTAAAAAATTTTAGGGAAAATTAGAACCATGCCATTATAATTTTGCAAAATTTGAGATATGCCATCCTGACACACATGTCATTGACTCATGTGGGTCCTACATGTCATTGAGATACCGATGACATATATCAAACTTTGCAAAATTATAATGGTATGGTTCCAAATTACCATAAATTTTAATACCGACATTTACACATATGCAGATGATCTTTTAATAAGACTTTAGTAAGGATGGTAAGCCATTGGCCTTAATTCTCGTGGTGGTTTGTTAAGGTGCACATTTGCTAACGTGTAGTATGTGTGTAGTGCCATGTGTTTCTGTGCATATTCATGAATAAATAATATAAAATGTTCTGGGAAACTAAAAGGCTAAAACTATAATTATCAAATTAAGGATATTTGTCTTTTTTTTCATAAACCTCCTACCTATATTTCTCTTCCCGTCCGAGCATTTGGCACGTATTAGTGACACTAACTCTAAACTTTAAACTTTAAAGTGCCACTGCCGACTCGCCTCATGTGCTCTTGGCAATGGCTATCCTCTCCTGTCCAATAGCCAATAGTCTATTGAGGTCACGGTATATTTGGAATAAGTTTCTTTTTACCCTGTTTATATATTTTTAAATATTTTTTAAAATTTCAGATATTTCTCTTCCTTCCTGTCCAGCGTTTATGAGTGACGCTTTGGAAGCGCCCGCTGCCGCCTCGGCAGAGGCTCGTCTCCTCGCGCGGCCATGGTTATCCCCTCCTTCCCCCTGCCTCGCCTCCACCTCTCCCTCCAACTCCACAACCCCAGCGCCATCCCGAGTCCCCGCCGCCGGCCGCGCCCCGCCCCGACGAGCGAGACGCTCCGCCGCCGCCTCCTCCGCAAGGGCGTCTCCCCGACCCCCAAAATCCTCCACGCGCTCCGCAAGAAGGAGGCCCTCAAGTCCCTCCGCCGCGCCAGGAAGGACACCGCCGCCGCCGCCGCGGCCGCGGAGGCGGCCAGCAATGCGCTGCCCAGGGAGGAGGACGGCGCCGCGGTGGTGGGCGAAGACGACGAGGCCCGCTTCCGCGCGGCCGTCGCCGAGTACCGCGCGCTCATGGGCCGGCCGTGGCACGGCGGCGCCTCGGCACCCCCGCGTGGGGCCCTCCGAGGCGAAGGCGAGGGCCTCGACGGCCTCCGCGAGATGCTCGCGGCGAGGAGGGCCGGCAAGTTCGAGTGGCTACTGGAGGATGATGACGTAGAGGAGGGTGAAGAGGAAGCGGCGGTGGGGAGGCGGGGGCGTGCTGGCGTCGGCTGGAATTCGGATTTTCGGGATGAGGAGAGGAGGATTGAGTCGCTGGTGAGGAGGTATAAGCGAAGAATCCCTCCCTGTTCGTGCTCTTGCTGTTTCAGGCGTTCTTGGCCTTTCACTGCTTTCGAGTAGTGGTGGTTGCTTTATGATTTTAATAATCACATTTACAAGAATATGAGATATGGCAGAATTTAGATAGATAGCGGTTTAGGATTCACCTTATGTGCATTTAACTTCATTGCACTCTTCATTATCCTAAATGCCAATGCCATTATTGAGTTAAATCGTTCACAATGAATTGAATTGCGTGAAATGTTGTCTTTGTTCCATATTGCATAAGTAAGTTTTTTTTGTCAGGCTGAACGAAGATGATCTAAGTATGCGTGATTGGAGGCTTACTAGATTGATGAAAAAAGCTGACCTAATATATAATGAAGATAATCTGCTACAAATACTGGAAGGGCTTGAGGCAAGAGGAAATTGGAGGCAGGCTTTATCTGTTACTGAGTGGGTGTACAATGAGAACATCTACAAGCATCGAAAAAGCAGGTATATCCTAGTTTACTAGGTTTCAGATCGCTGCAAGCACAAGTTATCTAATGAAATTGAACTCAAGTACTGATGCTTGACTAATGGAATATAACATATCAAGGTTCGTGTATACAAAATTACTATCAATCCTTGGAAAAGCATGGAGGCCAACTGAAGCACTTCGAGTTTTCACCATCATGCGGGTAGAATTTATTTGTTGCCCATTTAGAATTTACTCCATTTGTCTCTTATATTCCAGCCTAAAATTGAGAAAACATAATGGTATAAGCATTATATCTTACGTTAAATCAGAGTGATGCTCAAATATACCCTGATATGGCTGCATACCATAGTATTGCTGTTACACTTGGTCGAGCTGGCCTTCTAAACGAGCTAATCAAGATTATAGAGTATATGAGACAGAAGCCTTCGAAAAGGGTAATGAAGATGCGTCGCAAAGATTGGGATCCTTCCTTGGAGCCAGATGTTCTGATTTATAACTCGGTAAGGATGGCGCCTGATGTTTTTGTTTTATTTCTGTTTTCCTGCACTCTCTTGGAAGAAGTCTTGTTCATAACCTTGCACGTCTTTTATTTTTTTTAACTGTATAACTTTTGCATGTCTTCACTTTGACCATTGTTTTTATAGGTCCTTAATGCATGCGTTCTATCACAGCAGTGGAAAGGGGTATTTTGGGTGTTTCAGCAAATGAGAAGGAATAGTTTGATACCTACAGGAGCAACATTTGGGTTAGCGATGGAGGTATGCTTTTTAACTGTCCATTTTGTCATTTGGCTGATTGGTACTGTTCTATGGGTATTTTGGAAATGTGTTGTACATATTTGGGAACACTTTATGGAAGGTGAAATTTATTTGCAAAGCATGCGTGTGTGAGGTTCACAAGTCCAGTTTAGCTGGGTCTGCTCCTGATGGAAATTAGGTTAGATCAGCTTATGATTCCTGTCTTGTTTTACATGCATCTGCCTTAGAAGTCTGGGGATCGAAACCATATTATTGTAGTCCTCTGATCATCACATTCTCCTTTTCTTTTTGGGAAATATTGGGAGATGCTCCTGCCATGATATAAACAATATAAGTAGTTTTTAATTTTATTTTATAGAAGAGCTAGGAAGAAATGTAAAACCAAAAAGAGCTAGCCAGGAGTGTTGAGACTGAGTTTGTCGCTACCTCTTTAACCCTCTTAGCATTTTTTTTGTACCATTCCTTCTCTTTCAAACATGCCATCCAGTGATGATTATATCCGTAAACATAGCATCCACCGTACTGCTACATGTAACGCCATTTTTCTGCCAACGTTCCTTGTCAAAGAAGCTTGCAAAAAAGAGGTGATGCAAAGTTTCCTCTTCTCTGAACTAAATGCCTTTATTTCCCGCATTAGCTCACACTCATCGTCGTCTTCTTGTTCTGTGCATTCCATTCATGTCAAATGTCGGTAGATTTAGCCTAATAGTTCATAAAGATACCCTTAAGTGCCTCCGTGTAGTCCAGTGGGTTGTAATCTCAAGTATATAGTGTGGTATTGCATACGCAGTCAGTCAATCATAATAAAGACATGTTCTTTCTTACTAAACTTTGATATGGCATTCTATCATACTTACTGGAGTTACTTTAGGTCATGCTTAAAGCCAAGAAGTATGACTTTGTCCAAAAGTTCTTTCAGAAGATGCAAAAAAGTGGGGTACCTCCAAGAGCAATAACTTATAAAGGTAGCAATTCAGATAAAGTTCATTTGACTTCTTTGGTATTGAGATTCATGTCATTTTCCTAATTATGTGCTCAGTTCTAGTAAGAGCCTACTGGGAACAAGGGAAAGTAAATGAAGCAGTTGAAGCAGTTAAGGACATGGAACAAAGGGGAATTGTTGGAGCTGCAAGTGTTTATTATGAACTAGCTTGCTGTCTCTGCAATAAAGGAAGGTGGAGAGATGCTTTGTCACAGGTTTGTGAATGATCATTCATTCATATGCAATTAAGTGCAAACTATACTTCTGTCATCTCTCTAGTGTAACGAAACAAACATTTATACCTTGTAGGATAGTTGCTACTTATGTGATTTTACTCCCTCCGTTCAAAAGTATTATTATTTCAACATCAACATGATCTCTAACACATAACTTTGACTAGCATAGTGTTCCTGTTTTGTAGTGGGTCTCAAATAAATATACTGTAACTCCCAATTTAAACACAGACATAGTTATTCTCAAGCCTAAGTGCCTACTAAGTTGTGTATGTAAATCATGTTACATCAATCAGCAACCACATATCCACAAGTGCAGATAATGCATTCATTTTGCAAAAGGTCTAGCAAACAAATCAACCAAGTCTACATGAATCCATCTATGGAATATCTAAAGTGAAGGAGTACATAGCAAAATTACCACCACCAATTTGTCATTTTAAGTAGTAGATAAAGATCCGATAAAGGAATGGTAAATCTATTACATTTTATATGAGCACTTTAGTAAAAAACAATCAGAAGTTGTTGTATTACAAAAATCTTTTTCATGTGAATCAACGAGATCATCTCTGCCTATCGAAATAATCTGTTGGCAAAACTAAAATTTTGGTCACTAACTCTTGAGTGAGTTTAATTTTCATCTTAAACTTCAAGAAAATTTAACTTAAGCCTCTCTAAGTAAACAGCCCTTCTTTTGGTACTATGTGCCACCGACTAGGATCCTTGTTGGCTCAGGACTGTCCAGTGGGCAATGGTCCCACCATCACATATCATTGTCTTCTTTCTTATCCCTTAACTCTCATCTTGCTACCCAGTTTTATTCTATCTCAACATAGACTTGGAAGGGAATAAATTGTGCTAACTTTGTACTAGTCATATCACAATTTGGAAAAATGAAAATAAACAGATCATAGCAAAATTTGGACATGCAGCAGTACAAAACCAGAACATTTGCTATGCTGATGACCAACCTCCAAAAACATAACTTGCACCAACTCATGAACAATGTCGTATGTGCCCACAAGCTTGAGATAAAATACGACTGTACTCTTTGGGTGGTTGAACTAGATTAAGATTTAAGAAAACGATTTTTTATTTTTTTTCCAATCTAAATGGAAATTACCTTACCAGGTCTCTGGTAAAGCCATTAGGCATGCCTTTTTCCGCATTAGGAGTTCATACCACCTCAAGTGGCATGCCAACAGTTGAAATTCGAGTCTCTGACTTTGCCTGACAAATCTTAGATGCAATTGGTTTCCTATTTAGCTTTAGAGTTTTATTGCCACAGCATTAAATTTTCTAATAAGTCATGTTTACCTGTATGATTTGAAAACTATTGTATTTGACTCTAGATGATGTTCTCCAATAGATGTCATTTTATAATATAATGTGCGGCAGTCAAACGTGAAATCTAACTCTCTATCAATTTAAGAAATCATTACTGTTATTTGTTCAGCATAACATTTTTATCCGTTGCAAAAGCTTTAGTTCTCTTATTAGGACTGACAGGAATAAGTAATCTATAGGCATCAGAGAGTTATTTTTAAGATTAATTTTCTTTTTCAGGTTGAGAAGCTAAAACAGCTTCCGCTCACTAAACCGCTAGAGTTCACATTTACTGGCATGATCTTAGCCTCTTTTGATGGTGGATATATCTCAGAATGCATCTCAATATTTGAGTCAATGGAAGGGCACTGTGCACCAAATATTGGTACAATAAATGTCATGATAAAAGTGTATGGACGCTGTGATATGTTTGTGAAAGCAAGGGACTTATTTGAGACCATCAAAGTTAATTTGCCTAGTTCAAATCATTCATCACATAAAGCAGACGCATATACATACAGCTCTATGCTTGAAGCAGCTGCATCTGCCCAACAGTGGGAATACTTTGAAAATGTGTATAGAGAGATGACTCTCTCTCAGTACCACCTAGATCAAAGCAAATATTCATGGATGCTCATCAAGGCATCCAAAGCTGGAAAGGTAATGTTTATTATCAGCAATCTGAACATTCATTTTCGGTTACCCTGAGATGTTTGGTTCCCCTCTCAAAACGAATTGTCTGTATTTTAATTAATCTGCTCTAGGATAGTTATGCTAACGTAGCACTACACTTTATTTAAGGTAAAGTTTTGTTCAATGTACAGCATGGAAGTCTTACATTACATTATGTGATATCTGATTAGTATAGTTTGGGTCCACCAATCAGTCCACTTGAAGGTCCTTTGGACTTGGAGGTGCTATGAAATTACTATCTTCCTTTCTATGCCAGTTAGTGTGAATTTCTCCCCTAGAACGATATTACCACACCTCCTATTCAACCTTATTGTGAAGTTCCCCTAGAACAATATTACTGTACCTCCTATTCAACCTTATTGTCTTAAATTTCGTCATCAGGTTTTCTTTCATGCTATTGTACTCATTTTTAGTTTAGGTGGACTTCTTTTTTACTTGTTCTACTGAACGAGGGAGGGACATTCTGAATGCTTAAAGTTCCTTTTTTCAATCATCATGAAATGCTCTTTTATGAAGTTGACCAGGTGCATGAATAATTTACTCCCTGATTTGTATGCAGTCATATTTGCTGGAACATGCACTTGATTCAATACTTGAAAGAGGAGAGACCCCCAATGTACAGTTATTTAGTGAGATGATATGCCAAACTATTGCTCAAAGAAACTATGCAAAGACACTTCATCTAATAAATATTATGGCTGAGGCTTCAACTGATGTCAGTGAACTTCAGTGGAGCAAGCTACTTGAGCAAAATATGCATCGATTCAGCGTGAATGCTTTGAAAGATCTTTTAAAGTACCTCAGTACCAGTGATATCATCAAATCGGATCCCGAACTTTGTTTTGTAAGTGCACTGCAATCTCAATGTGGGACAACTTTTGTGAACGACACTTCTTTTGTGGCTGATGGTACATATACTGGACAGTCTCAACTCTCTCTGCCAGAGAATATAACCAAGTCTTCAAATAGCAATCTAGATCAGCTTTCTTGCATGAATTCGCTAAACACAAATGTATTTCCCGATGAGAAAGTTAGCAGTGAGTTCTCTGATTACATTATGAATACTCCACAATCTGATGCTAATGCTGGCTTGAGCGAGGACATTGTTATAGGTTCACATTTTGAGAGTGAACAGAAAGAACAACATGATCTCGGCTGGTTGGGGACAGGAGTATCTGCAGTTGACGAAGTACTTGATTCAATGAATTTGTATGGTGATGGTTCATGCGGAGAGATGCCGTCAGCATCAGAAATTCTTGAATTATGGGAGCAGGATAGGATAAATGGGACGTTTTCTGCTAAAACGGCTGAACCACCATGTGAGGATAGGTGATCTGGCAAGTGCTGTTTGATGTGGCTAGTGTAAAATTCTCACATTAACACTAACCAAATTGGTGAATACGAAGAAAGCCATGAAGTCCCATAAGTTTGGTACATGCAGCTCTGCATTGCCTGAATATGCAAACTAGGTGGATCTAGGTTTATGTGATGAGATCAAAAGAATCTGATGAAAGATCCATTTCCAGAAAGCAAGGCCAGTGGGTTGGTATGTATTCTTTACCTTCAGCAAAAGTTGATAATGCAAGGAATTAGCTTTCGCCTAAGAACCAGACCAAAATAGGTTTCATTACCAGTAGGATCATTTGAACATATTGCGCTCTGGAAATTCTCTTCTTATTGCCTTAGGATTTTCATCAAGAAGGGAGTGCTGCAGAAATAAACCAAAGCCAAATTTGCTTCAAATAGATAAAAGGTATATATATACTAAGACTTAGTAATAATATCAACATGATGCGTCCTGGCATATGTCCCTGAGCTTTTGCTTTCCTGTCTGAAGAACGCAAATCATGCATAGGTTTAGTTATTCTGTTCTTATGTCCCATGGCATATGTTGCCAATGAGTTCGAAATTGATAGCTTAACTGGCACGTGCAATGATGTGTACAACAGATTTTTTGTTTTGATATGGAGCTTAATTAACATTTAGGTAGATCTTACCGCATTTCGCTATTTTTTTTCCAGTTTGTATGTATATATGTATGCTAATTAACCACTCATACATAAAAGATTTGCCTATGTTGACTGTCAAAATAAGTCAATTAGTCCACTAAATTACCAAGGAATCAAGGATCAGTAAAATGCTTTAGTACTAGTAGCATTTTTATCATCAATTATCCCCTAACTCAACTCGTACATAATTATCCCTCCATGCTTAATGGCCCTATTATCTACTATGTACGTGATAATACTAGATAATTTTTTATTTGCATTTTATCCAAAATTTGCCAGTGCATTATCAAATATCTGTTGTTTGATCAAACCTGTGATTGTTTTAAGGTGGAATAATTCCAGAGGGAGAGTATGTTATACATACCAAAAACGACTCTCGTTCCACGACATCGGTGTATAAATACTCTTGTGTATCCGGAGTTTAGACATTAATTATTGTGTATTTTAGTTGTCAGCCATTTTTCTTTGAAAACATGAAGTGGGATTAAGTTTTAAATCAAAAGAAACACGTGACGGTGTTCTGGATACCTTTCCGGAGTATATTGTTTTATACCAGTACTGTGCTGTGTGCAGGAAATAACACCAGAAGTTGAAGTGGATGTCCAGTGACGCTGCTCCGGTGGTCCTTATAATCGTTTCAGTCATACTGATCACTATGAACTCTGAAGGCATCCATGAAATTCGGCTGTTGAACAGGTGTGAAAATAACGTGTAACCAAACGTGGATCGGCTGTTGTACATGGCGTTGTGAAAACAGCAGCCAAGGGGAACGCAACCTGTCTTCTCCTTAATTTACCGGAACAGTGTAGTCTGTTGTTTTAATGGCCAACTGTGGATAGTGTAACAGTTTGAGCATCATACTACTAGTTATTGCACAGGAAGTAGAATGGATTTCTCAAGATTTGATCATGTGCCCTCTAAACTTTGTAGCCTCAAAAAATAAATCATGCATGATATACCAGAAAGACTACAAAACACTACAGCGTTGGGTGGTATAGTTTATGTTGCTGAAGGCGTCGATGACGTACTATGGTACCAAGATACCAAATCTGGTACCAGGTTTGATACTATGATACCGTGTTTGATGCCACATATAAAGTAGTATTCCGTTGGTTCAACCGTATAGCATTTTGTAGTCGTCGTCATGGTACTCTTTAGTCCTCTACTAGAGGATGGGAGTTTTTTTTTTCTCACCTATGGCAATCATCAATTAATAAAACCCCTAGTGCTACCGTTTTTCTGGTTTTTTTGAATTTTTTTTGGCTCCTTGGAATGGCTGCCACATTGTCCTTTGTGCAACAGTGCTCCTCGATTGGGCTAGCAGAACTGGTGGCACGTGGTTCGAAGGTCAGCTGCTGCTCCCTATTCGCTATGCGCTTCGTACCAGTAAACAGCATGCATGGGCGCTATGTCCTGTGGAAACCGGGTATGGGCAGTTAAGCCATACATGTGAGGCACGTACACTCCCTATACAATTTTTCATAAAAGTCTTGGATATGGAAGTTTTCTTTCGTTTAGGGTGAAGTAAGATCAAGCTCATGAGCTTATTATCCTAGGTCGGAACAAATTAGTTGATAGTGATAGGATCCCCTTTTTGACGTCCCCATGCCCCCCCCCCCCGGTGTGGTGTGGCGGCATGAGGATGTCAAAAGGAAAGGGATAGAGTTTTTCTCGCTTTTGGCGTAGCGAGGTCTGCGCGACGGGCTATTAGCTCAGTGGTAGAGCGCACCCCTAATAATTGTGTCGTTGTGTCTGGGCTGTGAGGGCTCTCAGCCACATGGATAGTTCAATGGCCCATCAGCGTCTGACCCGAAGATGTGGATCATCCAAGTCACATTAGCATGGCGTACTCCTCTTGTTTGAATCGGAGTTTGAAACCAAACAAACTTCTCCTCAGGAGGATAGATGGGGCGATTCAGGTGAGAGCCAGCCGTATGGACTCTACGAAAATGGATGCATTATGCGAAAATCCGAATTTGCTCTTCCACCTGTTCCAATGCCTGCGGAGGAAGGGAGACGTACCGCCGCAGGGTATTCTTGTACCTCGCGGTACCGAGGCTGCTAAATCATTGGATCAGGCTCAATGGATGGCCCTGATTACAAGTACCGTGAGGTACTAGAAAGCATGATAGACGGTAACAAAGCTCACGAAGCCAGATTGAGCCGTATATAAACATAACTATGGGGAATAAAAGACATGCCAAAGACACCAGATTAATTATCTGTACCATAGGATGAACACATAAAACAACAATCTAGATGACTAGATCTACTACACTTTGAGCCACCAATCTGCACCAAAACAAAAAAATATTGAGCCGTTTGAAGATTATAACAGGTAGAAAAAAAATAGACATCAAGATATAGGGAAAAAGAGCATTTCCTATCAATATATTGGATTACTTTTACCTTCTTCGTCTTCATGGAAAAACTTTTCGTGCTTTCCGAGTTCTCCTGCAGACTGAAACTTCATGGAGCAAGTAGGACACTTGAAGTTGAAATTCAGATGGTGACCCACACAATGGGTTGGGATCTATATTAGAAAGAGTGTCTTTACTGTCCAGCAGGTTGTACCAGTCGGTACTGGTACCGCTCGGTACCAAAACACATCTATCCATTAAATCCGGAATGGGTAGGATCAGGAGAGAAAAGATAAGCAAGGATGGATGCGGCGTTCGAGTCATCGTTCCCGGCAGCGGTGGCGTCCAAGTCATTGTTCCCGGTGGCGGCGGCGTCCATCCAGGCGGCGACTGGAGGAGGACCACAAAGTCGCGCCGCAATCGATTTCGCTTCAGCGCAAGGCCCGAGATTAAAGTCGCGGCACTGGAGGAGGAACACGGCAGCGGGGAGGAGGAGGAACACGGCGGCGGGAGGGGAGGAGAGAAACACGGTGGCAGCACAGAAGAGGATGTAAAATGCGAGAAAATTGGTTCCGTCCGTCTATTCCTCCCATCTATTGCACGCGAAGTTACATTTTTGCCCTTCCACGTCTCTGCTATGCGAGGTACCACAATAAGGACATATTTGGTACCTCGCGGTAGCAAACACTACCAGCTGTTGGATTGGGCCAGATCCAATGGCCATGATTTGGTACCGCACGGTACCGTTGGACCTAAAAAATCATGTACCTAGTGAGTATAAGGAGGACATGATATTTGTGTTAAATATGCTCACTATAAATGACTGTATAACCAATATGCCAAGAAAATATATGAAGTACGTAATCATTAGCAAAACCTTCAGCACATAGAAATCATTAGCAAGGAACTTGATTACATCAAGAGACCATAGTTAGTACTATACCATACTTTTCTTGATGTAGGATGGACCAGCCCCTGCTCCTCTGTTCATACAACAGTGACATGGTACAAAACCTTCAGCACGATTCTTGTACGCGATGGAATACCTTCTGTAGAACAGCAATTCAGCATCGGTCTCAGGGAACTTCATGTCAACAGTTCATAAAAAATCATGTACCAGATTTTTTTATTGTACCTCTGGATAAATATGGACCGTTGAAGAGATGAGATCTAAGGGTGGAAATTCATTACTACTACACGTAATATAAAGGTGTAGTAGTGTAGTAGAAGGGTAATTGTGGAAAAAAAATCATGTGGCATTCTTGTAATTTCAGTTTTTAGGGGGGTGTATTCTATAATTGCGCATGGATTCCAGATAGGGTTGGCCCATCTAATTGTACGTCCACAGCGCCGCGCCGCCGCACGCCTCCTTCTTCTTCCTCTCGTCGCCGCTCGCCAGTGCCGCTCGCCCCCGCCTTCTTCTTCCTCTCGTCGCCACTCCCGGCGCCTCCTGCCCATTCCTACCTACCGCTCCCGCATCCGCGCCGCTGAAGTTGCCAACGCCCCCGAGGGCATCCACAAGGTCAGTGATGGCGTCCATGGAGCTAGATCGATCAAACCTTGCCGATGTTTTTCTGCTTCTTGGCTGCATTCTCATGGTGTTTGTGTTTATGTGTGCAGTGCTGGGAAGGGGTGGAGAAGACGACCGGGGTTGGGCAGGGTGGGACGCGGCTATACGCGACGGTGGACCTCGGCAAGGCGCGGCTCGGCTGGTCGCGGCAGCATTTTTTGCCCTCTTCGTGACGCCCAGCTCTAGCCAGCCATCCCCGACCCTGGCCACCATCGCCTCCCTCGTCCAAGACCTACCCTGTAACATACCCAAATTCTAGGATTAAGGAATTTCCATCCAAACTAGTTGAAAGGAAAGTTCTTCAAATTTTGTGAACCAAAAATTTCCTTTTTAAACCTAGGTGAAGTTGATCTAACTCTTGCATGAATAAAATTCGAGGGCAAATTAAAACCTTTTCATTTATAACCTAGGAAAAAAATACAAACACAAGTGTAAGCATGCATACTTGCATAAGACATGTTTTGACTTGAGTCTTTCTCGTGCATTTGGATTTTTTGTTGGCATTGCATATTAGGTCTCATGAGCATAAATAAAAGATAAAATTTCACTAATCAAACCTATAACCACTCTTGAGAAATAATTATAAAGACATGAAAATGAGGTTAAATAATATCACCTTAGGTCAAGAGAGTCCAAATATAATTTTTATAAATAGCTAGATGCATTTATGAGGAGGAAACATATATAAAGATAAATCTTACTAAATACCTAAAATAATTTGTGCAAGATAAAATCATGGGAAAATTCATGTAGGCTCTACTTAACTCATGCAACTCACTGTAATTTTGGTACAATTTAATAACTAAATTTGGTACCTGAAATAAATCAGTCAAACCAGTCAAATAATAGACTAATTATGATTCTCAATCGGCTAAAACCATACTTTGTTTAACTGCATGGAAGTGTATAGGGTAAATAAATTATTCAAATACTAGGTCATTTATAATGAGTAAATATAATTTTTTTAGAATTTATCTTCTCTGTTTAGGTCTCCTAAAAATTCAAACTAGTTTCGAAAGAGCCCATTTTTTTCTAATTTCTGTGAGTAATTCATACATAATTAATTTTTGAGTGCAACCAAAGAAAATTTGAGTGCAACCAAAGAAAATGAATCTAGGTACAATCATCTACCCCCAATTAAAATCCACTCTAATTTATTTGCTCCACGCATTAAGATATTAAATTACAAAGTAAAGGGGAGAGAAAATTATCTAAAAATTTCCTAAAAATCCTTACTCACCTGCCTATCTACCCATACCCCACACCCACACTTAGTTTCCATCGCTCTGGACCCACCTGTCATTGTCTCTAGGTCGCCCTCACCATGTTCATTGCTCTGGCTCGGCCAAGGATGCCGAGAGAGAAAGAGAGAACGAGAGAGAGAGCGCCGACCGCGCTCTGGACGGCGTCGACGCGTGGCCTCGTCGTGTCACACGCTGAGCTCGTTTTCTCCTCGTCCCAACCGCGTCACCCTCCTTTCTACTCCCTCCCAAAACTGATCAGCTCGAGAGGGAGAGCCTCTGCCTCTCCGCCGCTCAAGTTCTTGCCGCCGGCCGCAAGGATGACAACCGTCGCCATCGCCGTTTGAGCCGCGGTTGTCTCGATATCTTGTTCGTTCCCTTGTCTCCTCTCAGTGCTGGTTCCATCCCCCTTAAGTTCAGTCGATTTCATGCAGTGGATATTCGGGAACGCGGACCTCGCCATCGCTGTTCTGAGCAAGCCCGGAGCGCCGCCGTGGATCGCGCCGCTGTTCCCGTCAAATCCGGTGGATCTTAGGCCGAACCGTCGCGCCACGAGAGTTGCCAAGATGCCAGTAGCAAGCCCATCGAAGGAATCGAGCTGAGGCGTCGCCATCGAGGAGATCGAGCCCTTCTTCTTCAACTCCGGCCGCCGACCGTGGTCGTCGATTCCTTGATCCCGGGTGAGCTTCGGCGCAATTCCTCACTCGTGTAGCATCCTTAGATGGTCTTTGAGCCGTTTCACTCTTTTTCTGGCAGCCCGGAGACCGGATGGTGATCGTCACCGTTGCCATGCCGATTTCCGCCGCCGCCGGGCCGTCTTCTCCACTGTCACCGCTGTTCAAGCCACTCCAAGCCGCGATCAAGCTTCGGTGAGCGTCGTAGTACATGAAATAAACACATGCATGCATCCATTTGATCACTACATGGCTATAGGCGCACATGCAGTAGCAGCCTGTGCACAGCCGCCGCTCGGACTCGCCGCCGGCGTTACTCCGATGTCCGCAATCCGAGAAAAGTAGAGAAATGGAATCGCGAGAGCGTGCTCTTCATTTCATATTTTTACCTCAACCTCAAACGAGCCACCGTTTGCTGCTGGCAAGCTTGAGATCGAGCTCAGCCATGGCTAGCCCTGTTTCAGCTCGAACCAGGGACCTCTGTGGAGAAGAAACAAAACTTTAGGTACTACTTTGTAAAACTACCTCACACAGAGAACAGTCACAGGATCGCGGGTTGATTTCTAAAACCCCAGGGACCTTTCTGCATATTGGTCTCTCACTGCCACGTGGACCCCATCCTTTAAAATCTGGGAAATGATAAAAGAAATACTCAAACTAATATATGTTTAACAGAAAAATGCACAAGCTTGTAAAATCCATATAAAATCAAATATAACTCTTTTTGAGATGATTCAAATTTCTGTGAACTCACCAAGTTATGAATTTAAGGTTATGAAATAAAAACTTGCACTCACAGTACACATTTCACCTCTAAAATTTATCTAAGAAAAATTATACATAAAGCATGCATAAAGTTATAAAATGCTTACAAAATTCATTTCAACTCATTTTAGAGCAAACTTAGTTTCTACAGATCCACTAACATGTTCTCTAAAAACAAACTAAAGTAAAACATATACACACTTTACATCAAATGCCTCTAAACTATTATAATTAAAATAACTAGTTTTACATAACCTGAACTTTAGAAGTTTATATAAAATTCATCTTATATCCTTTTTGAGTAAACCTAAGTTCTGTAGAACCACCAAAATATGTATTTCCAGATTGTAAAATAAAAGTATATACTTAATGTATAACAAAAGCCTCTAAATATTTATGCAAGTAATAACCAATTCATCTTTTGTCCAAATGGAGTGAACCAAGTTTCTATAGAACCAGCAAATTGTGAGCTTCAACATAGTAAAATGAAATATGGAATTTTCTGTACTAAGTTATAGCTCTAATCTTTAAATAGATAACCTAGGAGTTAATCACCTAGTAATGGTTAAGCAAAATATATCTATAGAAATATTTAAAATGCACTCTAGCTATGAATAAACCAAAATAAAACTTGTTAGACCAGAGAGGTCATAGTTCAAACCTTAATTCCCAAAGACTTTGCAAACTTAACTCATATAACAATTTCTAGGTTGGTATGTTAAATAACTAACATAGAACATCCCTATTTATAAAATGTGTAGTAAAATAATATAAACTCTAAAATTATGAATTAAGATTATATTAGTTAACTAAAATACTCATTTTAAATATAACTAGCAAGATGGAGCAAGTTCTAGACCTAAATCTCCAAAGCCATGTACACATAGACACTATACGTCTATAACACGGTACAACTTGTAAAATACATAAAGAATTCAGATTAACTCCAAAAATTGTGAAACCAAATGTGTTAGTTTGAGAAAACACTTCTTTACACCTCTGTGAAGTCAAAATTAATAAACATCACTTTGCAAAAATATTTTATAAACTGCCTAAGTAAATACTACCCTATACCGATGTAAACTTCTAAAATTCATAATTCACAAATAAAAAGAGATAAAATAGAAATTCTTTCACCTAAATTCATCTTAGACCAGTACATATCCACTGTGCACAAATCATGCATTTTAGAGCATTTTGGATTTTTCGCATAATTCGATGTTTAATGGCATAACGTGTACTTTATATAGATAATTTCTTAAGCGGTGAAGAAGTGATTTAGGTGCTGACATTTTCCAGTTACAAGGCAAGTCCCACCTCCCTCTCTCTTTGATCAAGTTGATCCTATGTTTTGGAGGTTATTGAAAATGTTTGCAAATCTTGCATGTCAATTGTACACTAATAAATTAAAATTTTGTTAAACTTGTTAGACCAACACCCATTACTTGCATTATCACCTTAACCTCACATATATCCATATCCCTCATTCCTAACCTTAATTAGGAATTATATCCTATTACTACTTGGAATATGAGTTACATTATCACTAGTTTACTTATATTGCTTAGCCAAGCTTAGAATAGTTTTACTTATCTCTTGGGCTCATATTAACATGGAAAATGATTTTATTAAGATTCTGGACAAAGATGATTAAATGAAGTATTTGACAAATAAAATGATGGAAAACATGGATTTTAGGTTTGGGTCTCAAGTGGTGCATATATGGTGATTAGTTGTGTACCGATAGGGGGAGAGTGTGCCCAAACCGTCCTAAGGACTTCACTCAATGTCAGTTCATTTCGTATACAATACAACCACATATGCTAGTATGGGATAGCCCAAGATTACTAAATTATTTATGGTTTAGCTTTACATTCTGGTAGACCGGTGTGTATGAGTTCGGATAACTCAGATGAACTTTCTATTTACCCCGACGTGGTAGTTTAGGTGACTAAGTCTGTTCAATACAATGGTATTGTGCCACGTGGTGGGTTCCCGTTGCGGCCGCCACTTAAGTTTAAGGCGTGGGCCCGCCACTTAACAGTTCTAGGTCATATAATGTGTATGGCTTATGATAGAGAGACATGTATCGTGCTGGTGTCTAAATCATGAATTTTGGAACAGCTTTGTTGCAGGTAATAAATCGTACCATGCTCTTGCATGATTATTATTTCGTATCATGTGGGTAAAGTATACAAACTCTGCAGAGTAAAAACTAATCGATTAGACATGCTCGTGGTCATGAGCGGCGTGTGGATATGCATTGAGTATTGACTTGTGTTTATTCTTCTAAATGCTGAAATTTACCTTCAAATTATGTTGAGATTTGAGAATGATCTCCTTGCTACCATGGATGGCAATGAGGTGCATATTTACACATGATTAATGCCTACTTTGATGTCCATATGCTAAGTATTAGCTTGCTGAAATTTATTTGAAAGTAAATATGATTTGAAAGTGTTTTATGCAAATAAAACTTGCTTTATGCTAAAAAGAACCATATTATACCTTCCTTGATTATATGCCTTACAAGTAGGGTGTTAGACTTGTCTTGGTGCTTGCCAGTACGTTATTTCTAATAATGTGCTGACTCTTGCTATTGGATTAACTATTTGTTTGTAGGTCTTAGACTTAGTCTTTCGAGTGACGCGGGTAATCGTCTGCTTCTTCTAGGACTTGAACTTAATGGGGGTAAACCCCTAATCGGTGTGCTTGTGGTTTGGGTAGACAAGTTTCCGTTGTTCTCTCATATATATATTTGGCCGGTCGGCCTATGTAACTATTAGGTTGATGTAAGTCTTCAAGTCCCTTTCGTCTTAAATGTGTTTGCTATGTATGTCCATGCTTAAGATGAAAGTGTGAATCTAGTGCACATCGTGAATCTAGTGCACATTCTGGGAATTAGATTCATATGAGTATGAGTTAAGAATATTTGAGATGTTGTAGATCTTTAGCTATTTTGTCAAGTCTCCTAAATGTGTAACACATCTGGTCGTGGCCTTCGAGTTGTTTAACGGGCGCATCTCAGTTTGAAGTTGACGGGCAGGTTAAAGGCCCCACAATATTTTCAATATTCTTCTATTAAGACGTCGGATATTTTATTATATTTGTTTGATGACTTGAATTATTTACTTTATCCCTTAAATATAATGAAAGGTCGGAGAGCCTACGACCTACCCGCGGCCTACAGCTTCCGTCAACCCGCCTTCGTTGCGAAGTTTGTCTCCCTCCTCATCGCTGACGCCCAGGACGTCCCCACGCTCGCCTACCAGCTCCTCCTCGTCTCATCTGCTGCATGCCTCCTCCGCTTCATCGGCAGCCACATCACGCGGCAGGTGGAGGGGACTGTGCTTATGCACGTCACCCTCGCAGACAAGCAGGAACACGCGCTGGCAAGGGAGGTTGTGGTCGCCATCAAGGCTGACGCGGGTGGGACGTTCCGTAGATTCGCGGTGGTTGTTCTACTGTCTGTGGAGGTTTAATGACGACGCCGTGGGCATGCTCTGGGACGCTGTTTATTTTCTGTTAAGGAGATCAGTACCTTTTCAGTCTTCAGGGTGTGAATATATACAAGATATGTTGATATAACCTGTAGAAGACTCATTTATTTTGAGTACTCCAGTAGCTATCACTCCTCGCTAGGTCATATATATAGTATGTTTCTGGTAATTTTGATTGAACTAATTAATGATCTGTGACTGTTGCATGTATAGTTTGTAAGCTGCAACCAGTGAGTACTACACATGTAAATATGGTTCTGTTCAGAAATTTTTCTGGTTGTACGTAAATTATAATTATGCAGTTCAGGTTTACTGGTTGTACACATAAAAATATGGTTATGTTAAAAAATTTACTGGTTGTACATGAATTATAATTATGTAGTTCAGGTTTATGAGTAGTACACATGAAAATATGAGTTGGTATTCGCATTTTGAATTTTCTGTTAGATTGCAAACTGGTTATCGGCGTAACACATGCGAATGCGCATATAGTGAATAAGTAATCAATGGCGGTGTATGACTGACATTCTGTGGTTGAAATTTATAGGAGATGGGACAGTCTTTTCCATCCAACGTGGCAAAACTGAAGAAAACCTTGATAGTGCTAAAACTTGAGGGTCCTGAAGTCTCATGATATGCTCGTCTGGCCATTGGTGAATATTGAAACAATTATATTATTTGGAATTGTGTCCTGTACCAGACTGTAATTGCATGCTCTATACTTTCTGCTATCAGTTGGTGTATGCATTGTGTAGCTCCTCAACTAAAAGACCCTGTGGGATATGTTATTGGCCATTTCATTAGAATAATCCTTTTTTATGACGATCTTGCTATGTACTGACAATTAGCCATGAGGTTTATAAAGCTTACCGTGTATTTAGATGCAAGTGTTCATGAAACTGAAAGCACGGCTGTAGGAAATAATCGAAATGGGTGATTTGGATCATCATGCCATCAGAAAACAACCCAAAAGAAAGAAAATAAAAACCTGAAAAAACTGGGGCCTTTGTCCAGTAGCAGCAATAGAGCAGGACGAAGAGTGAGTAGAAAAAAATGAAGAAAATCCATATGCGTACATTGCAACAATGTAGCCTGAAAACATAATATCCTGATATCACTCATCGTGATTCTGAACATTGAACAGTAATACAGTGCAGGAGTTGAGTACTAATTGTCACCTAACTAATATTTTCTCTAACACCAAAATATTAATCAAAATTGAGCCAAGTACAGTGAATATACTAATATCCATAATTTGTTTAAATTATAAAAATAAGAATACGTCTGAAATATTTAGATGCAGTTATTTGTAAATCCTGCTGTTATTATTCTCCCGGCCAAACACCCTTCTCGCCACCTGCCTATTTCTTGTATGTTGGGATTTTGATGTTATCATTCAATACGGAGCCAACCAAAATTGCCGCTAGCTTGCGTCTGAAGATGTCTATATCACCTTGTATAGTATGCAGATGTAGTTTTTTAGCCTTAAATTTGAATTGATGGGTTTACATACATGCTTTTGTAGTAAACTACATACCTGCTTCAATTTTGTGGTTGACTTTCATCCATTCCAGTGTTCCATGCACTTCAGCATGAAGAGACCACACTACACTGGCCAAGGTCACCTGTGACGGGCCCAAACCCTCATCTTTGACGGCTTCGCGCATGGTCAGTGATCAGTGGTCACTGGTGAGTCCAGTCACCTTTGACGGGTGGCCGGCCGTCACAGGTGACACCCACCTCTGACGGGCAAGTTACTAGAAGGCCGTCAGAGGTGTTGGTCTCCGCTAGCCTTGAGCGAGTTAGGACCCGTCACAGGTGACTCATCTCTGACGGCCCTTTAAATAAAGGCCGTCAGAGGTTGAGGTCTCCGTAGTTAGAAGCTGTCACAGGTGATCTACCTGTGACGGCCCCAAAAGTAAAGGCCCGTCACAGGTAGGTCACCTCTGACGGGCCTTTATTTGCTAGTCCGTCACAGGTTATGTTACCTTTGACGGATTTTTGTTCTGACCCGTCACTGATGAGTTAATTCCAGAAAAAAAATAAATGCTAAATATTGGCTAGCCTCAGGATTTGCTAGCCATGCCCTCTGAAAAATAGAAACATCACAGATATATTCCAGTCACAGATCCCCAACAACACATATATGCAGATCACTGCATATAACATCACAGATACATCACCCCCCCAATATAACATCACAGATCCCCAACAACACATATATGCAGTTCAAATGCCACAATTTTGCACAGCAAATTCACACCCCTTGAAAGCCACAATTTCGGTCGTTGCTCATAGAACCGCATATATACTTACCAAATGGATTAAAGCCATGATGTCATCGACCTGCACAACCTGTCAATAAGGAAAAAAAAAAAGGAGAAAACAGATGAGACGTACAACATAAATCGTAGTTGATCAAATGTGATGACAATTTAGTAAAGTACCATAAATATTGCACATATGAAAGTAAATTACATTGCACTCTATAAAAACATAATTTTTTACATCGCCAGAAATTATAAAAACATCTTTTTTACATCACAATAAATTATCTAGCCAAGTTCATGAGTCTATTTGGCATGAAAACGTCCTTTCTTGTTCATTATTTCTGCAAGAATAAAGGCACACAATTCGCCTCTGATAGCGGGGGGGTTGATGGGTGAGATCTTGAAGCCAGCTCTACCTTTCTGTTTAATAAATAAGAGGTTAATTAGCACGTTTTGAATAGCAATGTAGATATTGAAATGAGCTTATTCGCCATTAGCAACAACCTCAGGGTCGAAATCTTTCACCTCTCTTAGAAGTGTTGACATGTTGTGGCACACGTGGAAACCACATTGGTCTCCGATCTGTTGTGCGCATGCAAACTTGGTGTCATGATAAAGTTCGTTCTTGCCCTCCTTGTGCCTACCACCCTTTTCCACATATGGGCCCCAAGCCATATTTAAGGCCTTGGTGATTTCACTGAAATCATAATCTTTGGACTTATTGGAGTTAAGGTAGGTAACCCTACTCCACTTAGGTACGATGACTAGGAGAATCCAATGTCGCCTGCGCAGTGGTTATGTAGCGTTAGTACTAAGAACCTTAACTTCAAAAACAATATACACGAAGGGTATTGTCCTCTTACTCTTGGTTGTGTGCGCACATGATGTACTCCTTGTCTTGATGGGCCCATAAACACCGGTTGACATAGTCAACCACCTCAGTGGAGCTCTGTTATAAATTAACCTCATTCACCATGGATGGATCAAGGAACCCAACCTGATTACCATGGCGACGACTCTCGATCCAACACAACCTTAAAATATTTACGTATTAGAACTAATTTAATTAGGAGATATAGTCCAGTCATATCACAAGTATAGAAGGTATGCACTTACAAGGAGTAGCATTTTAGAAGACCAGTGTCCAACTTCCGGATCCTGAAAAGGTCGAAGAGGTCATCAAAGCCTATAGTTATATAGGCAGGCGACGATAGGAACGGCTGGTGGTCGTGATGTCCAACTATGGATGACTCCCTCATTTTCCGCTTGGCATTGCTTAGCTCCATGTATTGCTTATGTAGCTCTCGGCAAGCAATACCCATCACAGCTAACACATTGTCCTCCACCAATGGCATGCCTAGCTCAAATTGGGCTGGCGCCCTCACGACCTTCCCCGATTTGCTCACCGGCATCGACGTCGCAGCCTTGCCCCTTTTTGGCTCCGGCGCCAACTCCCCGACCTTCCCCTTGCTTCGTTCACGCTTCTGGCCCTTGACAAGTGGTGGGGAGCTATCGGCCTTTCTTGTGGTCTTTATTGGAGCCAAGCTTTGAGCTATATCTGCCAAGTCCATATCAGCTCCACCGGGAGAATGAGGTACTGACAATGCCGGTCCACGGGGAGCCTCAATTGATAGCTTAGACTTGGGAGGTGTAAGCTCCGTCGGTCGACTTGGACGAGGAGTCATCTTCACAACTATGTCTTCTTTGGGCCATTGTATGAATGTCTTGCGCGCATCGCCCAAAGTCATGATTTCATCATTTGGGGGCACGGGCAGCGGATAGCCTGACCAGGTGTCCTTTACTGTATCGATGGACACCTTGGCATACCCAGCTAGCAGGTCTGCGCCGTGGACCTTGTCTGTAACCGAGGGCTTGAAAGCCATGCCCTCAGCGACTTCAGGAGCGAAAGTTGGGTGGACTCTCGCTAGTAGGACACACTGTGCTGCGCCCTGCATAAGGTGAAAGTTTGAATTTAATATTGGAATGTGTAAATGTCTTTTATTAGATATGGATCGGATAACAATAATTACCTCGATGTGGTCCACTGCAGCTAGTGGTGCGATCGGGAGACCAGGGGCCGGCACCTCTGTGGATGCACAACTACTCCTATGCTGTGACGGACTCGCGTCGTGTTGTACACGAGGAGTTGGTTGCACAGCAGGTGTTGTGACTCGGGGTATATTCATGTCGGCGAGCACCTTGTTAACCCTTTCTTCCACCCTTGCATTCATGCTAGCTTCTAGTTCTTGAATGACCTCAACCTTAAGTTCGGCCTTCAAACGAGCGTCCCTCTCTTCCTTGGAGACTTTCCGTTTCCTGTATTGGGAGCTGTACTGAGGGAGTCCATGCTTCCAGGGCACATCGCTACCAATTCCCCGAGTTCGGCCAGGATGTTCTTTGGTTCCGAGCGCCTTTGTGAGGATGTCATCTTCGCGCCTCTTCGGCGCGGACTCAACCTCGCTTTGTGAAGCTTGTTCAGCAACCAAGCCCAACTAGAAAAGAAGATAGTCGTTTATACGAACTTGTACTTTATACGAACGGAAATTAGTTAGGTTAAGTAGTGAACTCACCAGTTCCTGATAGACGACGGCATCACTTTTGTTCTCAAATGTGACAGAGCCGTCCGGGTTGACCTTACCCCTTGCCCGCGCCCAGTTGCGAGCTCTTTGTTCAGGGATGTCTGAAAACGGGGCAGGTACATTCGCTGCTGCAGCGGCTGCATCTTCTTGGGCCCATATTGCCTCCTTGCCGATGTACCCTGCGGTGCCCAGCCGATGCGGGTGCTCATTCCGCTGTTGCAGTACGCGATGTGCCTCGCTGGATTCCCTAAACTCTTGGGTGGTCTTGAGAGAGCAGAATTCCTCCCACACCGCTTCGGTTATTTGAGGGTATTCATCGAACGGCGTATGATTGCCGGGCGGGTTGACATACTCGGTGAAGAGCTTCGACTTCCAATTCTTCCAAGCTTTGCCCATCTTTTGGAATGCCTTCCGCTTGAGCCTATCCTTTGCTTCGGCTGGAAATGTGAACCATTTCTCCATTGCCGTCCAAGCTCGCTCTTTCTCGGCTTCTGTGACCTTCCCGATATCTTTATGGAGGATCCC